GGGGACATGAAATAGAATGGTCTCAAACTAGTAGGTTTGCTGATTATGGTACGTCTGTGGTTAAAAGAAAGATGTACATGAAATAAAATGGTCTCAAACTAGTAGGTTTGCTGATTACGGTACGTCTGTGTTTAAAAGAAAGATAAGAGAGATATTGAAATTAATAGCTTAGGAAATACGTTGAATGTGAGGAACGGTGGTAGAAAGTTGAGCAAGTCAGATTACGCAACCCCAGTCTTTCCTTTCCTTGGAAGGTTAAACGTTAATAACCCTTGATGGAAAGGTTAGAAAAAGTGGTTTCGTAACTTGATTATCATGCTTGCAAGCTCATATCTCATTATCTCAACCCTACTTATTTACAGACTGTTTGACCTTGTTTTCGCAACATGGTCATATTGGTAGGAAGACCTTTTGGAACGCACCTAGTCCGGGTTCCACTGTCTGCATGATCATTTCCAAAGTTGAACCGTGGACGTGGTACATTCCCAAACGTTTCGCCGGCATCGTAGTTGGCATCGTCAGTGAGTATCGCTATCCTTAGCACCACACAGAAACTCGTCGAATGCATAAATAGCCAATGATGGATTTGACCCATTTCAAAGCACTCGTCTTAGCCATTACCAAATTTCCAAGAGAGCGTACAATATTTGTGGATATTTGGAAGAATTATTTTATTACAATATCAGAAAACTCAGATTTATAGTTTTATGTTTGACCTCGATTTGTAAATTGGTCCTATAGATAGGTGGTCTTCGGAGCATTTTTATAGCACTGCGTCCCCTGCGCATTTGGTCATTTATTATTAGAACAATGAACTGTTGACGAGACATATTGCCAGATATTTTGCCAGCACCCTTTTTACACCCTTGATATTTTGAAATTAGGCATGCCTACAACTCCATATAGTGCAATAATAAGTAAGTTCTTTGGAGTCTCCGTTCTAACACGGTTAAGTTTTGGAGACCAGATTAAATCGATTCTATAAAGCGAGACGAAATAGCAACTAAACCAAGGGCTACACATTATAGATCTTTGTATTTGCAATTTTTTGCTGAGGATTTACACCATTTATCGCACGGTCATACAGATATTGCTAATTAGATAAATTTCAACTCTGCGGTACATAATGTCTGACTTATTGGAAAAGTTGCATCTGCCCTGGAATTTGAGTTTTTATAGAGAGCTAACATTTTATCTGCTAATGCACATTATCCTGTCTATATTATAGGTAAATTCACAATTATTTATATTACATATACAAATATATATATTATAGTGTATATATATTTATATTTTTACGAAACTAACTTTACTAATAAAGCCTGACATTCTCCTCAAAAGAGTGTGACAACAACTTATTGCATGCGTCCTTAAATTATTGGATATTTTATCTTTTGCTTCAATAGATACTACTCATGCATTAACTTTCCATTACTACTTCTCAACCCATGCCTTAAAAATCTGCATTATAAGTCTGGCTGTTTATGCAAGGCATTCAAGTTTATTCCGAGTAGACCAGAGGAGTTTGGTGAATTCTGGCTACCAAAGAGACGCGACTTTGACGCCGCCGCCTACCGGGCAATGTGTCGCTGCAAGCACAACCACGAAAAGCACCATGCCCACCCGCCGCCATTCCGTTGTAAAGCGCCCAATTGCCGATGCCCGTCTTTTGAGTCGGTTTCCGCCTGCGTTGCCTGCGACCTTCCTTGGACTCGGCATGAAACCTTTCTTGAGACGGAGCAAGAGCGCAAATCCGCCAATCGACAAGTCGGTGGGTTGGGTTCATTTGTAAACTTCTTGGTTGCTAGGCCAGCTATTGTTTCGAGTAGAAAAAAAGTTTAACTGGCCACTTTTTATTGAATAAAAATGATCAGAATTCATTTTACCATGACCTAAGATTCATTGACATAAAATTAAACAAGCGTCTCATTATTCAAGCCCTTAGTCTACTTAAAGTCATCCAGAGCCAATTATGGCTGATGTTATGCCTGGCTAAGGTAGATTTCTGTTTTTGTGAAAACGGGCTGAGTTTTCGTCCATCATATGATAGACATCATCCCTTCTTCATACAGATTTCTGTTCTATTAAATCAACAATTTAAACAGTTTACTGCTGCAATGCTCTCCAAAATGTCCCGTGATCGGCCTAAATATGCAAAAGTACAAATTATCTATATTCTATTTTATTCTTTTCTCACCATTTACTCGCGTTGTCAGGGAAATTAGCAAGCAACTGTTCTGTACCGCATTGCCTGCACTTCATGCCATTTATTCTCTCATTATTAAATCCTTCAAAAGGTATGCTAGCTGAAGCTTTTCTGGCAGGTCAGAGAAGCACTAAAACCGGACTCTCCAAAGTGACCTATGAATCCTATCCTAGCGAATTTGGTCTCATTTCCTTATCTGATTTCCCTTATTCAATTAGCGATCTAGCGTCCATCTAACCCTCCCTCTTATAAAGTCTTCACTAATCGCCTCACTGCAGCAATTTTAGGATGATTGTGATTTGTTTAACGAGTTTGTTTTTAGTAAATTTAT